CGTCATTTTAAAAAAGAAAAAAGTATGGCTCATGCTGCTGGGGTTTGAATCCCAGCTCCTGCTCCCTTAGGTAGGTTCTCAAAGCTGAGCTTCCTGATTTTATGATAGAGGTAATGATAGTACTGCTATCATAGCAATGAGAAGTTGCTATGAGTAAACTCCAAATGGCTGCTGATTTATCTGTAGACTTCAAACCACATTACTCCCCTGCTCAAAATTCTCCATGGCTTCCCATCTCAGTGAGAGAAAAACCCGAGAGCTCTCTAGGACCTTTAAGGTTCTGGTTTCCTGTTAGCTCTCTGATCTCCTCTTCAACCACTCTCCCTATACCATTGACTCCAGCCCCACTATTGGCTTCCCGTTCCTGGTACACCAAACAGCCTGACCTGCAACCAACTTGTTCCCTCCTCCTGAAATGCCACTCACCCCATGCTGAGTTTCTCCATCAGACTCACTTCTTAGGAAGGACCATTGACCACACTAAAAGAAATGGCAAATGACTTCTCCCCCAACACTCTCTAAATATTTGGTGAATGAAAAGCAGCAGGATTCAAAATTCCTCCCAAGATCCCCCAGCTATTACTAGGTGGGTATCTACAATGTCTGTGAGGTCCATAATGATACCCAGTTGCATATAGACACTAATAGGTGTAGGCAGAAGTCAATGGTGGGGCGGGGTGTGTGTGTGAGTAAGAAAGTGATCTAAATAAACCAATAGTGACCCTTTGGTGCTTTTATGCAAATTAGGTAAAATCCCTTCTTCAAGAGACTTGGGTTCCAACTCCTAGGCAAGTGCCATGCTAGGCAAGGGTTATCTGAAGAGTGAGCACCTTCATCCCATTGTCCTTCAAACGATGTTAGTTGTCTTCAGTTATAAAATTCGCATCAACATCTGGAGTGCAATGAACAGTCTGGCCCTTCCCACAATACTTAGTTGTTTGCAGATAACAAATCTTCGGGCCTCTCTAGATCTATGAAGTTGAGGCAAGATCATTGTGAGTAGCACGAGGGTCCTGCCTGCCTCCTAGACCATTTCCCACTACCTTCCAGGTGTCAGCCTGATGGTTTATAGTCCAGAGCTAGTTGGAGGAGGAAGGAGGCACAGAAGGCAGGAGGCAGGCCATAGTAGGCCTGCCACTGACTGAACTGTCATTTTCTGCCTTCTGTCAGGTTCTACTGCCTGGATCCTGAGAAGGAACCATTCTACTAGGTGTGGCTCCCCCACAGCACAGGCTGCCATATGCAAGCTGCAGAAGACACTCAGGTCTGGAAACTAGTGGCTAAAAGAGCTAACTCCTTGCATTGGTCTGTTTTGTTTGAAGAAAGGCCTAGAGCTAAGCAAAAACACATTACACTGGGATGGATTTATTCATAGAGGACTAAGATGTAAAAATGTCTGCTTTCTCCCCAAATAAGCAGGCCAAACCTGGGGGCTCACAGCAGCAAACACTCCTTGTCTTCTCCAGCCAGATTTATTCCCTCCCCAGGCTACCTAGCTATCCACATCCTGGTGCCCCAATGTCTCCACCTGAAACTGCAAGGAGAAACTGCAAGGAGAAACTAAGCCCAGGGCTGTGAAGGGGTTCCTGGAATGCCTAGCCCTGAACCTGTGACATAGCCATGGGCCCCAGCCTCTCTCTGACCCCCACAAGACTGCACCAATGCTGCGTACATCACCCTCTGTGAGCCTTCTCCCTGCACTCAGAGGGTGGGAAAACAGCAGTCTCTGCCCCAGAGCAGTCTGCCAAGTGATGGGCTACACAAAGACACTGAGAAAAACAGCTTGAAAGTAACAAAATGATGTGACTCCAAAGGAAGCAGAGGCAGGAGCAGTAAGGACCAGGTTTATGAAAGCAAAGGGAGGTCTGAGTCCTAACTTGAATCCAGGTATTAACAGAATGACATTGAACATGTTGCTTAATCTTTTACCATGAATCATCAATTATCTTCTTTATATTTAAAAAAGAATAAAATTTATCTCATCCTAGAGTTAAGAAATGACACAAGGTATTTCCGCAGAAAAAAATGAATATAAAGAATTGTTGATTGGGACTGGAAGTGTGGCTCAAGTGGTAAGAGCTCCTGCCTAGCAAGTGTGAAGAGTGTGGAGTCCTGAGTTCAAGCCCCAGTACTGCTAAAAAGGAGAAAGAAAGAAAAACTATTGCTACTGGAATGAACTCCCTGGCAGGGTGAGGAGGCATTGCTGGGGATGTGTTACTGAAACAGGAAGCCAATAAGAAGCAGACAAGAAAGAGCAGGTCCCTCCTCCCTTCTCCAAACTTGCAACCTTCCTATTGCCCTTGATAGGAGAGTATACCAGGAAGCAGCTGGCAAGACAGAAATGTGATTTCCAGCTTCACATCACAAAGCATGGTACAGAGGGCCCATCTGGAGTCAGAGACGCTAACTTAACAAATGGCCACCGACTCACAGATAGGACGGAATGCATATATGATGCTTAACACGGTGCTGTGTGCACAGTACCATAGTAGATGACAAATGACTATTATTGCTATTACCACTATTATCATCACTATCATAAGAGATAAGTGGGCTTGGTTACTAAGCAAAAGATAAGGAAGGCTCTATGATAGGCTGATTGTGGATAGAGACTAATTTCTGGATTTCTTTTTGTGGAAGTCTCATTGAGAATGTAAGACTTTCAGTGTAACATAAAGGACCAACATGGTATCAAATAGCAAGTTTATAAATTAGTTATGTGAATTTGATCCTAAGATGTCAATCTTTTTCCATTCCTATGCTGGATCAGACCCCCTTACTCCTCACCCAGATTCAAAAATCCCCTCCTCTCATTTCCAGATCATCTAAATCCCTACTGTCCAATGTTCACCTTCTTAGACTCCTACCAAAAGCCAGTTCCTGGGACTGACATTTAATGCTGTCACTGAGCATTAATGTTCAGGGGCCCTGGAGATGCTACTGTCCACTGTACTTAGCACCCTCCTCCTCAAAAACAGGGTCATGTTAAAATAACAATGAACGAAAAGGACGTCAGGTGAGGACCCTAACTCAGGATCTACAGTCCCCTTCTCCCATCTACCTCTAAGCCTTTACTATGGTCCTCACCTGGCTGAGGAACTCTTGAATGCCCTGAGCTCATGAGGCACTGCTCTCCTCTTCCTCCTTAAATTAACAAGCCCCTTCTGTCTTACAGTATTCTTTTATAGTTGTCATCTGTATCTGTCAGCAAATGCTAAAATGAGCCGTGTAACAGCTCCAAGATGTCAGTGGGTTATGATGCAGTGTGTTTTCCTTACAAATGTCATGCAGTGGCTGAAAGTCTACTGCTCTCTCCTCCACACCCTTCTCTCTCCAGTATCTAGGCAGAAGGAGCAGCTCCTCTGGGGAACATTAACAGCTTCACAGTAGACAGGAAGGAAAAGAGTGTTACCTCAGAGTGGCTCTTCAGATTTTGGCTTAGAAGTAGAATCTATCACATCCACTCATATTTCATTGGCCAATGAAAGCTACTTGACTTCTTGCAAGTTCTAGAGGCAGGGATATATCATACTTCTTAAATCAGGAGCATTGCAAATCACATGGCCATGCCTGACCTGGGTGAGCATAAATGTATAAGATTCTCCTAGACATTACATGAATACTTTAATCAATAAAAAAGTTTACCATACCATCCTAGTCAAGGATCCCATGACCTTACACCTGGATTATTAAATCACAGAAAGTGGTGAACCTAATCTAATCTGGTACCAACAGAAATATTCTACCAGAGCCTTTTGGGTCTCCCTGCCTCTAATGTATCCACATTACATGAACAGTAGAGTAACTGCCATGGTAGAATTTCCTAAATGCTGTTTTCATCCTGTCCTTCTCTTGCTCAGAACATTCCATGGCTCCTTCCTGCCAATGGGCTCAAATCTAGATTCTACAGTCTGGTGTCCACAGCTTCCATCTACGAGTTTTACTTTCATGCCCATCTGTATCTTAGCACCAACTCCCAAATCCAGGTGGGGTCTGATTGCTTTCGTTATAGTTACTCTAAGATTGTGTTAGTGATGTTACTATCTTTGTTTGGCTTCTGTAGTCCCCTTCCTCATTCTTTCTTTTCTAATCAGCTTTTGTTCTTCAGTTTCTTCAAGAGCAGTCTATAAACTTCAAAAACTTTCCTGGATTAACTGACCCCTCTTTTAATTCTCAAATCTCAGAATTGCATCTTTTTTTTGCTCTTGACTTTATTTTTTCTTTTTTTTTTTTTTTCATTTTTCTTTTATTATTCATATGTGCATACAAGGCTTGGTTCATTTCTCCCCCTGCCCCCACCCCCTCCCTTACCACCCACTCCACCCCCTCCCGCTCCCCCCCCTCAATACCCAGCAGAAACTATTTTGCCCTTATTTCTAATTTTGTTGTAGAGAGAGTATAAGCAATAATAGGAAGGAACAAGGGGTTTTGCTGGTTGAGATAAGGATAGCTATACAGGGCATTGACTCACATTGATTTCCTGTGCATGGGTGTTACCTTCTAGGTTAATTCTTTTTGATCTAACTTTTTCTCTAGTTCCTGGTACCCTTTTCCTATTGGCCTCAGTTGCTTTAAGGTATCTGCTTTAGTTTCTCTGCATTAAGGGCAACAAATGTTAGCTAGTTTTTTAGGTGTCTTACCTATCCTCACCCCTCCCTTGTGTGCTCTCGCTTTTATCATGTGCTCAAAGTCCAATCCCCTTGTTGTGTTTGCCCTTGATCTAATGTCCACATATGAGGGAGAACATACGATTTTTGGTCTTTTGGGCCAGGCTAACCTCACTCAGAATGATGTTCTCCAATTCCATCCATTTACCAGCGAATGATAACATTTCGTTCTTCTTCATGGCTGCATAAAATTCCATTGTGTATAGATACCACATTTTCTTAATCCATTCGTCAGTGCTGGGGCATCTTGGCTGTTTCCATAACTTGGCTATTGTGAATAGTGCCGCAATAAACATGGATGTGCAGGTGCCTCTGGAGTAACAGTCTTTTGGGTATATCCCCAAGTTGACTTTATTTTTTCCTTCTAGAATCATGTGTATCCCACAGGAAAAGACCTTGGGGGTTTTGTATTCTACTCATACCACTTCCCTCTAATTTAGATATGAGAAAATTGAGGAAAAGAATGGGAAGAAAAGTCACTAATTTATTGAGAAGCTAAGATGGATTGAGAACTAAGTCTTGTCTTTGTTAGTATTCTTCTTCTGTATCATCTTGCCTTTCTTACTTTATATCCATTTCTCCAACTAGATGATAAGCTACTTTAGGGTAGAAATGTCTCATTATGATGTGTTATACTTGACCCTTGACATACACTATCTCCAATAGTAGTCTTGTGAGGTAGCAATTATTCTCATTCTAACAATGAGAAGACTAAGTCAAGTAACAAGCCCAAGTTCAAATGATCAATAAATGACAAAGCCAGGGTTTATTGAATGCCTATTATGTGCTTGCAGTATGCTTGTTCTCAATTTAAAGAAATTAAAATACAGTTACCTTAAAGGACAAACTTCAGCAAAGTTTATAATCCCAAATGAGTAATATAATCAGGACTATGGAATTCATATAGGATAGGCACTGTGACCTAAGGTATCAAGAAAGAGATTAGACTTGAACTTGGCAGTTAAATGCACAGGATATGTGTAATCCCAGTAGATGTGGTGGGTGGGAGAGGCATTTCTAACACATTTACACATTTATCAGCATCCTTGCATCCTTTTTAGCTTTGGTAGGAGTAACCACAAAAGACATGTTGTAGAAATTAACCCTTTCTTGAACTAACAGTTTCCAGGTTTGGGGAATTTACCCTCAAAAAAAAAAAGTTGACAGCATAATTCCCAAATACTAGCCACTACCAAATATTACACCCTCCTCCAGAACCCAATTTAAGCCTGTGCTACCTTCTGCAGGCCAATGGATATAGTCAGCTGGGAGATCCAGGAACAACTATGTACCTACATCTGTAATATCATATGTCTCTTTCTCATAGCCATAAAAGGATGAAAAAGATGTCAGTGGGTTTGGATGGACTAGAACAAAGGATCTTTAGCTTGCATGATCAGTGTCCTTCCTTGCTGAGGGGTTCTGAACTTTTTCTGTGTGCCATGGACCCCTTTGGCAGTCTAGCAAAGGTTATTTTTCAGAAAAAGAAAAATTCCAAAGTTCCTAAAATAAAATAATTATGATTAAAATAAAAGCCAATTAGATTGAAACCAGTTGTCAAAATATTGAAAAACAAATTTACATTAGAATAACACATGCATCTCTTTATTAACACTTTAAATAACAAGTCCAGTAGCAGATCTGATGACTACTGTGATTTTGACAGAATGCTAAGTGTTGATAACATTTTGTGATATCTGCAGCAACTGTAAAGTGATACGAAAAATATGTGTGATTTCTCGTAGTAAGAGTTCCAGGTACTTCCAATACTACATTGGTTGGTTGCCTGTAATGGAAGGAAATGTTTACTTTCAGACTAGGATTACTGCAAATGAAGATGTAATTTTTTTCCCCTTCTAAGGTCACAGCAACTGTAAGTTCTATCAATAGATAGACCTCAGGATTAAAATAGGTATATTAAAGGATTACTTCTGGGTAACACATAAGCTCAGTGCTCACGGAAGCTGTACAGATACCAACTGAGGCAGCATGGACACAGCCCACTGCTGGCTCTGGGAATTGGCCCTTGAGTGTGCTCACCACCATGGCTGGCATCTACCATGGTGCCTGGCAGAAGTGCATGCTCAGCCAATGTCTGCTTAACTGTATGAAGAAAGGAAGAGACAATGGTGGACTTGCTTCTATAAGAGTCCTTTCAGTGTTCCGAGACTCTGACAAATGCAGAAGGAATTCACTGAAGCCAGCTCAGAGCTCTGTGCCTGCCAAGAGTGACTGCAGGAGACAGCACAGGCAAGGGTGGAACAGCAATGCAAAGCAGTGGGGTGGGGCGGAGGCCAATACTCAGCACCAAGTTGGAATTCTGTCCCTTAGATAAAGATTCTGAACAGAAAAGGAAGTTCTACAACCAGTGACCACAGAGGGCAACCACAGGGCAAAGGAGCAGCTGAGCTGCCCAGCTGTTTTTCCTGCTGCTTATCTGTCAACATGGGCAGCCACAGGAAATTCATTCATCTGTACCCGGCTTGATGAGGAATCCCTTTGTAAGCTTAAAAACCTTTTGTCTTTCTGACAAAAGTGGTGACTTTTGAAACTGGTGACTGAGGGTACCCCCATCCTGCCCTCCTCTGCCACCAAGAAAAGGGAGGAAAGGCTGAATTCATTCACACAGCCCTGTAAAGTGCCTGACAGGACTAAGTGTTACAAACTTAGAAACAACAAAGACCATCATATAAAGCAATTCTAAGATTAATAGCTACTCATATAAACTCCACATGGATAAATGAAATTATTTCATTTGGGATATTTACCTAAATTAATACTTTGGTATTGGAAGAACTCATATTACACAAAAAGTTAATTTAAAAAAGGTTGTCATTTTAGAAGCATGCCTACCATGCAGGAATCTTATGTAATTTTATCTATTTAATCATTCCAATGACTATCCCCTGTAGTGGGGAGAATGGTGGTTGCATCCAAAAGATATGTCCAACTTCCCAGTACATGTATATGGGCTCTTATTTGGAAAAGAGTACCACAGATATAATTAAGGATCTACAAATGAAATCATCCTGGGTTTTTTTGGGGGCAGGGGCGTGCATTAAATTCAACGACAAGTATCCTTATAAGAAGAGGAGAAGCCCCAGAGAAAGGAAGAAAACAGCAGAAAAGAGGTCATGTGAAGACAGCAATCAGAGTGGTGTGTCTGCAAGTCAAGGAACACCATGGTTGTTGGCAGCCATCAGAAGCCAGGGAGAAAGGCAAGGATGTGATTCAGAGCCTCCAGAAGGAATCAACCCTGCAGATACCTTGTTCTCAGACTTCTGGCCTCCTGAATTGGGTGAGAGAAGCAATTTATTCTGTGTGAAGCCACCCTGTTTCTTCCAGGATATCCTTCAGGCTCCAGGAATCAGGGAAATATTGTTCTGTTATTGAAAACTGTCCGTGTGAGCCATTCACTAACCACAGGCTGACCTAGCTACCTGGGTAGGTATGCATACCACTCCCTGCTCAGTTGCTGGAACTGGAAAATGACTTCAGTAATTCAATATGAAATAACACCATTAAGGTAACAATAATTGAATGCAAATGTTAACCACAAGCAATCCAACTGCCTACAGATTTGAGGCCAAACTTTTCTGCTTCATAACTGTGAGACTGTGGACAAGCTAGGTAACCTCCCCGTGGGTCCTGTTTTTTCTTCTTCTGTAAAATGGGCAGAATTCAAGCAAGCTGAAGGAGGACAGGACCACAAATATAATGAGGTATCCTGATGGGATTCTTGAACAGAAAAGGGTAAAAACAAAGAAATCTGAATGAAGTATGAACTTTAGAGATCAGTAATTGATCAATATTGATTTTTCATTGTAACCACTGTCCCATTCTAACTGGAGGAAAAATAAGGAAGACCTGGTGTGGGTTATGTGGAAAATATATGTGAATTTAAATTGTTCTAAAATATTAAATCAAATACTTTTAAGTAAGGAAAATATCAATACCTCAATTTACAGTGTGATAAAGACTTAGAATAGAGCCCAGCACATGAAAGAGGCATTTTAGGCTTATTATCAGGATCAAGGAATTTGTATTTATAATATTCCATGAAAACAGACTTTTTAAAAAGTGAGATGACATTATGTTTTTAGAGTAAAATTGTCCAAAAATACATTTGTCTCATTCCAAAGCTAAGCAAAACCAAATCAAGTAACTAAACATTCTTCCATCCCTCAGTGTTTTTGGACTTTATCTTTTCAAACTCAAGTTCAAACTACCATCTTACTATTTGCATGCAGCTCAAATGAACAAGATCTAGCTTGTTTTTCTGAGAAATATGGAAAAAAGGAAGACTTGCAAATTGCAAATATAGCTTCAAACATATCTTCATGCCTTTTTCCTCCTATCTGATACTGAATTCAATTTTTAAAAATACCTACATCATATTTCACTTTCTTAGAAAACCAAACAGGATGAATTGTAGTGGTTCTTTCTTTACTATTTTGACATCCCACAAGGTAGAAAAATGACACATTTCTATACATTCACTTAGATTCCTACAACAATGAAAGAATAACACTTTTGATAAAGACTGCCATTGTAAGAAGTAAAGGTTCTTTCAGGAGAATGTTTGAGTCAAGAGACAAGAGTCAGATGCAAGCAGACTGACTGTTCCCTCCTTGTGTGATGTCTGTGTCATAAGATGCAGCAAAGAAAACAAGTTGAGAATAAAACACTGCCCATTTTCTCACCTGACAGGGTGCTTTCTACTCCAAGAATAAGAATGTGGTTACCTTAAGAGAACTACTCTTCTGGACCATCTGCACGTGAGAGAGATAGATGGACAGAGGCAGATGAGAGCTTGGGAATCTTGTACCAAAAACTAACAGGTAGACAGAAGCAGCAAATAGGATTCTCTGCTCAGAGAAGGAGAGATCATAAGAAAGCAACCGACAGGGAAATCAGCCAGGTCATTCACACTAAAATGGCAGTGTTTGAAGTTTTTTTAGCAGATAAGGTCAAGGCTTGGGTTTGAGTCTGGGGATTTATGATGAGGCATCACTACCCCAAGTGCTTCATTGGACCATCACTAAAATGTACATATTCTCTGGATTCTTCTTAGAGAATTTTCTCTCATAAAACCCATCTTAAAAAGTCTTAGAGTTGGAGCAGGGTTTTCTTTTAAAAATCTGGCAACACTATTATCATTAGGAAACTTTTAAATTTGATTCTGGGTCTCCTTAACAGAGGTCTAGGGAAAATTCTACAACTTTCTCTACTCTCTTCCTCTAGCACATCTGAAACTATATTAGCTGAAAAGGGACCCAGGGATACCAATAAGTACATGAAGAAAAAGGCCTTCCCTAGGAAAATAGGATTTTGTTTAACTGTTAAACAAAGATTAGCAATTTTCTTCCCTGTGGAGCCTCTGGAAGTGTTTACTAGATTAATGAGTATCATGAATTTCTGATAGAGGGATTTAATAGTCTATATATAGGACATTTCATTAACAGGGTGAGGATTAACAGCTTTCTTCAGAACACAGTTTGGGAAACCAGGCCCTTCCACCAGTGACATACATAAAAATAAATCATTTTGTCAGTTGAATTAACATTTAAATCCTGTCTTCCTAATTCTTGCTTGCCTTAAGTTAGGCCCAAAACCACTTCAAGACCAGCTGATACTGGGAAACAAATGTCCAGTCAAGGACTTAGACCAGGCTAACAACTGCATTTTCCATGCTATTTGGCATTACTATATGGATACCCAAGATAACTTAATTTCATTGACTTTGAAGAATGTTTTCCACACACACACAGATCTTCCAAAACGTCTATAAGTTCTTTCCATCAAAAAGTTTTCATTGTATATGTTTTGGTTGAAACTTTAAAACTTTTAACTAACTCCTTGATATAAAAGAATTATCACTGGGTGGGGGAGCAGGGTGTGATAGCCCACCCACTCAGAACTCAGATGCTGAGGCAAACGGTGAGCTCAAGGTAAGCAAGCGTGGGATACTAGTAAGATCCTGCCTCAAAAAAATGTTAACTTCCTTACTTTAATGTTGAAACTACTGTTGAGTCTTTAGCTCCATTATGCCTGGGTTGAACAGCCTGTGACATACTCAATAGCTAGGGGTGCTGGGGAGGAGGGATTAGAATTACAAGTGAAAGTCCCACCCAGAGGAGCCATGAGGCGGCAGAATCTGTAGGACAGCCAGGTGGTTTTCATATCCCTCCAAGTCTCTCACTGACAGCTCACTGAAGCCACTTTTGGTCTGAAAGTAAGTATAATAATAATATATGGAGTCATTATGTGTTGTGGTGTAAAAATCCAACATACCATTTTTCATTCCCAGCTTTATTTACTTAAAGGTTTTTCTTCTTTCTCCTCTTCCAATTCTTGAAACATCACCAGTTTAATGACATTTGGGTTAGGTTGTTAGAATAATTTATTGTTTAACCTTTTAATGATTAGGATTTTTGCATCATGCTCACTGCTTTACTCTATTTGATTTTGTAGAAACTTACAGATAGTATTCAGTGAGTGGGCATGAAAACCAATCAGGAAAGTCCATAAAATGGCAGTTGAAAGTAATAAATCCTCACAGATCTGCTCATGAAGCTCCTCAAATGTGGCTGGCTGCCACTTCTCCCAGCTACTTAAAGCATAACAACCTTCTCTAGTGTCACACTTGTATAAATTGCATATTTAAGGGCAACAGAAATCTGAAGCTCTTCCATTTTGCATGAATTTTTGAAGTGAAATTTCCCATCTCACCTGTTTTCTCCCATCAAGTACTAACCAGGCTAGACCCTGCTTAGCTTCTGAGATCAGACCTGACCCAGCATGTTCACGTTGGAATTGCCGTAGACGCACCTGCTTCTTTAGAGTAACTTAAGGAGGAATAAATACGTACTTACATCATTTTAGTGGAATATATACATATAAGAACACATATGGGTGTGTATATATATATTCCTATGTGTGTGAATATATACATATGTGCATATATCTTAAATCTGTTAAAGGAGACTCTTTTGCTACTGAAACTGCCCCCAATTAGTCTACCAGCATAGCCATAGAGGACCATTTGGGGATTTTCCAGGGTTTGGTTTTTTTTGGTTTTTTTTTTTTTTTTTGTAATTCAAGTGCAAAGTCATGGGGAATTCCTGAACAGAGGATACCAGTCAGTCCGACTTTCATTGAACTGGAGGAATGTTTACACAGCATATAAACAGTCTCACCACAGAGCACTTGCCTGCACAGTTTCAACTTTCTGGTTCTGCCCCAGAGTATGTTTTGCAGGATTCTGAGTCCTCCTAACTCCCAGGTCATTAGAGTAGATGAGAGTCACTATGACTCTGATAATGGACAGACATGATACCATGTCTGTCTCATGTAGCTGGAAAAACCCACTGGGGACAGCATTGTCAGGTAGGGCCTTCATGACTCTTGACCCCCTGCAATGCCTGACTTTCCTGCTGCAATAGCCTCTGGTGAGCCTCCTGGCTTTTATCCTTGCCAGAGTGATCCTTTCAAAACACAAACTCCATCCCGGCCAACCTTAAGTCCTACAAGCTTCCCTTGTCACACCAAATACAAACCCAGACCAGCCCACCCACCCCAGGCTCTCCTCAGAGGCTGCCCCACTGCCCCTTTGCCTCTGTGACCTGTCTCCTGTTACTGCCTTGGGCTCACTCATTTATTCCACTGGAACCTCATTAGCCACCTCAATGGTCCCCAAATCCTCCTCCACAAGACCTCATTCACTCTTCCTATGGTGTGGACTCTGCCATGGGAGACTCTATCTCACTTTCCTACGACTCTGCCTAAATAACACTTCAGAGAGAGGCTTCTCTGACCACCCCATCTTGGCCTCTCTCTAACCTCTTATCAATCCTTATTTTTCTTAGCATTTATCACCTCCTGTCATCTTTGTTTACTGTGTCTTTATTGTCTGTCTCTCCTAGCAGAATAAAAGCTCCAAGAGACGGAGACCCTGTCTGTTTTAATCAATTCCGCGTCCCCACAGTGCGTGGTACATGTTGTGATTTCTGTAGATGGGTGCTGAATGAGTGGATGGGTCAGAATCCATTTTTACTAGTAATGCCTCTGCCCACTGCCACCCCAGACAAGATGATTCCCATTACAAGAAATATTTGCTCAAAATTGAAGAGTCCTAACCCTTGGTCAGATGGCTCAACTTATCCTTTAAAATGAAAAGAAAAGGGAGTGCTTATCATTTAGCAAGTTGTGAATGAGTTAATCACTCAGTAATCAATGTCTGTTCGTTCACAAGGACTTCCTGCGCAGACCATTCATTTGCTTCAGACACAGGGGGAAAAAAAGGGGGCGTAGTGGGATAAAAAGAGAGTCTCTTCAGAGCCAAGTCAGAATAAACTCATACTTGCTGGTATTTTTTGGAAAATCTCATCTTCAGATTTTTTCCACCAGCAAAAAGAAAGAGCTCAGACTTCAAAATAATTTCCAAACCCTGAGGTGCACAAGGATGGTGTATAACTTGTGTGCCTGCTGTGCCCCAGTGTGGGGCTGATGGTAGGAATAAGGAGGGCAGAGGGTGGCTGTGGCTCAAGCACCAGGAGTTAATTCTGATTCATCTCCCTGCCACAGGAAATGCCCATGGCCTCTGTCTCCTGCACTCAGTGCCAGCTCTGGCTGCCGACCAGCACTTTCAGCTTCCCCTGAGGGGCCTGGCAACATGGTTTGTTTCATTTTGTTTTTAAGTGATTGGTACTAGACTTCAAACAGAGAAGGAACAGGAAAGGATTGGATGATGGAGGATCACTTCTCTGTCTTGTTTTTGGTAGTCAATGATCCACAGGAGGAACAAAGCAAAAGGAGACAGGGAGATACAGAGCTGGCAGGAGAGGTCTAGAGATACACATTTAACACTTGCTTATAGAATTTCATTTCTTGTTGACGCCTTTTCTATGCTTCAGTAAGCACTCTTGTCTACCTGGAGGCAGTTTGCATGGTGATTCTGAACTCAGGATGGAGGGCAGCAGGCTCTCTCCAGGGCTCTGCCTCCTGGGCAACAGTGTGAACTGGGGTGGGTTATGTAGTGTGTCTCCATGCCTCAGTTTCTTCAGCTGGTAAATGGCAGTAAAATTGTCTGTAATTTGACAGGGGTTTTGTGTCACGGAAATCAGGCAATCCTAATAAAACATTTGGTAGTAGTGCTTGGTTTTTGGTAAGTGTTCTATGTCATCAGCTATAATAAACACGAATCCTGAGTGAAACCAAGGGAGGGGGGAGCTTTACCAGGAAATGGATGGAGCTTCAGCCCAGGCCCCCAGCTTACACAGGTGCCTGGGGATGGCTGGGAGCTTACAAGTGGCTCCAGGTGGGGAAGAGAGGCCAGGATACCATCAGGAAACAGTTCTAGATAAGAATTTCTGGTGAATTGCCTAAGGTGATGTCACACACACACACACACACACACACACACACACAAAACAGACTGGACTCTCCAAGGCTACAGTATCTTGTTATCATGGTTTTTTTTCTCTCTCTTATTTGTAATAGACACACTTCATATTTCATTTATTTCCAATTTTTCATTCCTTAAAGAGGGTTTCCCAAATCATAAATCTCAGGCCCTACAAAAATCTATATTCATCCCAAAGCAGTGTAATCAAATCTTCACCACAGTCCTGAAAGGTAGATGTTATCGTTATTTCACAATGTGGAAACTAAAGTGCTGATAGATAAACACTGTCCCCAAAGAGAGATTGCAGGTCCTAGAAGGACTGTAATTTGAACTCAGGGCTTCCCATTACACTCAACTTCCACCCATCCACAGGATCATCATTAAGCCTTTACAAATAAGCGCTAGACTCAAACAGGTACGGGTATGCCAATGACCATAGCACCGTTATTCACAAGAGCCGAGAAGTCACAACCACCTAAATGTCTATCAACAGGTCAGGAGATAAACAAAGTTTGGTGTATCCATACAATGGAATATTATTCATCTTTTAAAAAGGCTGAAATTCTGACACCTGTGGCAATCATGGATTAACCTTGAGGACATTATGCCAAGTGAATTGGTAGATGGGGGAGGAAGGGTGAGCAGTTATTGAGCAGAATTTTAATTTGGGATAATGACAAAGCTCTTGAGATGGATCGTGGTTAAGAGTTGTATGAGATGTGAACTGTACTTAATGCCTTTGAATTATATACTTAAAATGATTAAAATGGTAAGTTTTAGGATATCTAGCTATCTATATCAGTATTGGGCATTGAGTTTAGGGTCTCATGCTTCAGTCCTCTACCATTCGAGCCATATCCTCAGTCCCTTTGCTTTTAGTTTGTTTTCCAGATAAGATCTCACACTTTTGCATGGGCTGACCTCTGACTATGATCCCCCTATTCCCCCTAAGTGGCTAGGATTACAGGTGCGCTCCACCATGCCTAGCTCCTAGGCTATGTATATTTTACCACTATAAAAAGAAACAAACTCTGGGGCTTATGGAGTGGCTCAAGTGGTAGAGTGCCGGCCTAGCAAGCAAGAGGCCCTGAGTTCAAAACCCAGTACCATTAAAAAACAAAATCTGGCCTAGAACGTAAGGCCTAGGTCATAAAATGTTTCTTTTGCATTTGGTACATCATGAGCATTATGCATTGAGGTGATGGAAAGTTGTTACACATCCTTCTTTAAAAGAATTTTTCCCAAAGATCTTGAAATTTGAGACAAAGCTATCCATTTCCAGATTCCTTGGTTCCTTTGTTATACACATCCCCAAGTCAGCCATAGAATTCTACAAAGTACCCATGGTGCACAACAGTGCCACACACACAGTTGCCTCTGAGACAGACTCAAAGACGACACCCTCATTTACACTGTCTTCTTTTAGCTACTTGCTATCCAACTCTTTCACTGGAGAAAGAAGGCTCATCACTGGTACTTAACTAAAGCAGATGGCACAGCCAGGCCAGCTCAGGCTGACAGTCATGGTCATTTCTAAGGTCCTCAGGATTCCAGTTGGTTGCCAGCCAGGCTTCCCTGCATTTACCCTCCTAGGACTGTTTTGCTTGTCCCTATACTATAATTCTTTAATGTGGATGAGTGGATTCAGGAACCACCCAAGATAAATGCAGTGAGTCAGACACAAGACTTTCTGTAGTCAGGGACAGCTAAGAACAGATCATTCTAAATCTTCCAAGTAAAGGCCAACTGAGGGCTGAGTGCAGAGAGACTGCTTTCCTGAACCTGGTGCTGCAGTGTCCACTCCACCGCCCACTCAGCTCAGACCCCTGGAGGGAGGTCAGACTCCCAGATGGAGTCAGGGTCTCCAGGTGGATGCTGGGCAACAGGAGTGCTGGGATTTTATCCTATGGGCTCAACCAGGAACTTTGATTGTAGAGAATAGAGAGAATCTCAATTGCCCAGGAGACATGGGAGTTTGTTGCAAGAATACATATGTGCTAAAGGAAATGGAATCTAGGAAAGCTAGGAATAGCTAAGCCCAACTGAGATCCAGCCTGGAAGGGATATTAGAATCCACAGCCATAGGCCTGGCTTATGTTCCTACCCCTCAGCAGGGTGCATTTATTGGTCTCCTCTAGTGCTTTTCAATTCACATGTTTCAGGGTCCTTCTCTACTTATTTTACTACTGACACTCTCATCCCACTACCTCACTTTCTACTTGACATAGCTTTCCTCTGCCTTGGGTTTCTGGTTCCGCAGAGCTGCTGATTCCTTCTAAAACCTGACTTGCTCCTAAAGCATCATCTCCTTCCCTCCAACCTGATTCATCTTGATTCCTCTCTCTCTCTCTCTCTCTCTCTCTCTCTCTCTTTCTCTCCTTCTCCCCCATTACCAAACTCCTGATTTTCCATCTGTATTTCCCAGTTCAAGTTCCACATATAATAACGCCTCCCCATCTATATTTTGGCTTCTTGTGCATTCAGTTATGTAAGTCAACCACAGTCTAAAAGTATTGAATGGAAAATTCCAGAAACAAACAATTCATAAATTTTAACTTGTACACCATTCTGAGTGGCACAGTGAAATCTTTCACCATCTTGTTTCCTCCTGCTGGGACATGAATCATTCCTTTGCCCAGTGTGTCCACACTGTATATGCTACTCACCTGTTAGTCACTTAACCCTTTCAGTTATCAGATCAATTATGATGATATGACAGTGCTTGTACTCAAGTAATCCTTATTCTATTTAAAAATGGCCTTCATGCATAAGTATAGTGTTGCTAAAATTCAGATATGCTGAAGAGAAGGCATAAAGGGATTCCTTAAAGTGAAAGGGTGAAAGTTCTCAACCTAAGGAAAAGAAAAAATGTTATGCCAAGGTTAAAATCCATGGGAAGACCTAATCAATCCAAATTCATGAAGAAAGACAAATCTAGGCTGGTTTTGCTCACACCTCAAACTGCAAAAGTTACAGCCATAGTGTGTCATAAGTGCTTAGTTAGGATAGAATAGAAAAGGCATTAAATTTGTACATATGTAAAACATGACATATATAAGGTTTGGCACTATCCATGGTTTCAGACATCCATTGGGGGTCTAGGAACTTTCCTACAGATTAGAGAATCATTATATGCAGAAACAGGAAATAATCTGCTTGGCTAAGGGGGAAGTTTTCCATTCATAGCACTTTAAGGATTCTGGCTGCTCATGGGTTGATTTCTCATGGGACAACCAGGGCTGGATCCCTCTGCGGTGTGTACAGGACTTTTCCAAAAAAGCACACCAGGCACTACATCTTCAGGAAGCAAGACTATGTCTTCCTTGTGCCTGATAGCTTGGTATAAATGATCCAGAACATGACACAGAGGGAAAAGGCATTTTCTTATATCATTATTCTACTTTATATTTTATCTTAATTCCTCCCTATAATTTTCTGTGCCTTGCGTTTTAAGCCTTTTTCTCAGCTTTCATCACAACCCAAGCAAGGTACACATTTTCCCTCTCTTGATTGCCTTCTGTGCCTTCCTAAACTACTTATTAATTTACTCATCTATTTACTCAATATCCATTGAGTACCTGCCTATAACAAGTGAGATGGACATAAGGACATAAAATCCATCCATCTACTCCATCAACGTTAACTGACTGCTTATAAAGTGCCAGGCTTTGTGTCTCTTGCTGGGAATTGAAAGATAGTGAAGACACAGCCCTGCCTCCTGCACAGTAAGAATTGAATAAATATTTGTTGAGTAAATAAATGCCTTAAAAGAACTCTCAGCTTAGTGAGGGAGATGGGCGTTTAGACAGATAGGACAAAGTAAGAAGGGCTATCCTGGGAATGTCCTCAGGAAGGGAGTACTTGTGAGACCAAAAGGTTCTTTCTGCAGACCTTAGTGTCTTCTCTGAGGCCAGGGCAGTAAGCTGAGCTAGCCAGGTGAGAGGAGTGAGATGACAGGGGCCTGCAGGCAGCAGGGGGCATGTGAAAGACCTGGAAGTGGATGAGGGAATGAATATTGGAAGGTCTGCAGTTGGGGTCCAAAATAAATAAATCAGGGCATTTAAGATTTTTGAGACTGGGCTGGAAGTCTTTACATGGGATAGTACAGGATACTCAAATTAAAATCAAGTTCAACTTCACAAGTACTCAATTTCACAGGTCAAATTATGCCTTTGGAGTTCTCCCAGGACCTTGTCACTGCCTGCATCACATTGGCAGAGGGGCATGAAATAGTATTTACCACTCCCACTCATATTCCATTGGCAAGAACTAGTCATTGGGTTTCTCAATTGCAAAATGAGCAGGGAGAGAAGTCCACTGGTCTAGGAGGAAGAAGAGGTGTTTGGTGGCAGCTAGAAACCCAGAGAAGTTTCTAGAGAGTGAGCAGATCCAGAGCTGTGCAGTGTAGGCATCCCTGATGTGAGCTCATCCAAAGTGCCTGATGTACTTTTTTTTAGAGAGTTGCTGGTGGTGTTGGGGATTTTGAACTCAGGGCCTTGTGCTTGTTAGGCAGGAGCTCTACCGCTTGAGCCATACCTCCAGTCCTTTTTGTTTTTCGGATTATTTTTCAGATAGGATCTCACTTTTTGCCTGGGGCAAGCCTTAGATTGTGATCCTCCTACCTGTGCCTCCTGTGTTGCCGGGATGACAGACGCATGCCACTATGCCAAGCTTATTGATTGAGATGAGGGAAGGGGTCTTGCTAACTTCTCGCTCAGCTGATCTCGAGTCCCTATCCTCCCAAGTAGCTGGATTACAGGTGCAAGCCACCACCCCTAACCAAAAGAGGTGGGTTTTGAGAAGGAGATCATCAAGAACTATGAAGGACAAAAGGGCCTGAGCCTTTACTTGCTTGCAAGTTAACAAGTTAGCTTGTTGCAGATTCATGGATATTGACAGAGACATGAGATGCCCAGTTCAGAGATAAAGGACTTCATCATTCAGCAGTGACCAGAGTGTCAGAACTTTCCAGATACCTACAAAAGGGAAGAGAAGACATCTTCATAGGATGTTGTTACTGAAGGGGTGTCCCTCAACTGCCTATTTTCCATACAATTCACAGGAATTTGAGACCCATGATGAGAAAACATTTTGAGGGGCCTCACAAAAAGGAATCTCACAAGACAGAAGTTTACTAAGGATTTGTTTTAGTAAAAGGGGATAAAGCAGGGAGAAATAGGAAAGGGAGGGGAAACCTCTCCCTGGCCTTTATTTGGAGGATTTCATGTTGAGTTCCCATCTAGATACCTGGTCACCTAGCAACCCCTAATAATTTTGCTAAGTTCCAAGTGTTGGGACAATAGGTTTAGGGTGGATTTATTACCTAAAACGTGGCTAAGGTGATCCTCTTTATTTTTCAAAAACACGGTGATGTGGTCTAAACTAACCCAAAACACAGGAGCAATAGGTTAGGACTCTCGTGTGCCAGACACGCTCTTTAATCTTCTGTATCTACTTGTGTAATGAAAGTTTGCAGCTTCTGAACATCTAAAAGAAGGGAGACTTGCCCTTTGCCCTATGTCTCCCTATTTTGTCAATTCATTTAACATCTAAAAGACGAAAGTGATGGAGGAGAGATTACTGCTTTCTCTGATCTTCCAGTTTTTATTTTCAAGATCTGATTTGACTCGAGTCTGACCCATTTAATATTTATTATTTTTAATTTCCCTGTCACCTCATTTATCTGTCCTATTTCAATGTAGACTGTGTCACAAGACAGGAACCCTGAGTTTGGGAAACCTAAACATTTTATAATGGGCAATAAGCTTGCCTACTCTTTGATCTGGAAGGTAGTGCTGTCTCCAACTTTCCAAGCCATAAAAGGTCTGCTCCTTAATTTGGAGAGAGACACAATCTCTATATTTCCATGTTGTAAACAATTTTCCATTGACCTTAAAGAGCAATACTCTCTTCAAAAGCTATTCATCCTTCAAAAAATTCAGAACAAAAGTAGTTACTGCCTCTGCTTGCAATAGGTACAGAAATGTAAGAGACACTTGAAGAAGTGTCTTCAACAAAGAAAGGTTCCTTTTCAGCAAGATGTAGTGTTCATTAGATAACAGCTTCCTTTACTGGATCCTTCTCCTCCTGACCTCTAGATGCTGGCAAGCCCAGGGCTCATGCCTCAGGTGCTTCCCCATCTCTGCTTTCTTTCTTGAGGATTTTACTCAGACTCATATCTTTGAATAACATCAGCCTCATAGCTTTCATTCCATGTTGATGGCCTCCAAATTTTAGTTTCACTTTGACATTGTCTCCATTTCCTGACTTTGATATCCAGCTGCCTATACGGCATGTTCATTTGGTTATCTTCTGGGATCTCAAACTTACCATGTTCATGATGCTTATCATCCACATGAAACCTGCTCTGTCCCCAATCTAGCCACTCTCAGTTGCTCAGGCCAAAAACCTATTTTTCTTTCATATCTACCTCCAATCAATAACCATAGTCTGTTTTCAAAATATGTACTGAATCTGACCATCTCTTTCTGCTACAATATCAACATCCTAGGCTCAAACATCATTTTTTGTGTCCTCAATGTAACTCAGATATATTGTAAACACTTTTGTAAAGGTCACAATGTACCCCCAGTACAACTATAATATGCTAACTGATTAAAAAAAAAAGTACTTGATTTTTTTTCCCCACTGACATAGCTTCTGCTTCAAGAATGGTATTTACATTATGGAAAACAGTATGGAGTTTCCTCAAAAAACTAGAAATAGAACTGCCATATAATTTAGCATCCCTCTACTGGGTAAATATCCAAAGAAAATGGAATGACTATGTTGAAAAGACATCTGTACTCCCATGTTCATTGCAGCACTGTTTACATTAGCCAACATATAGAATCAACCCAGGTGTCCATCAATGGGTAAATAGACAAAGAAAATATGGAATATATACACAATAAATGCTGCTCAGTCATAAAAAAGAATGAAATTCTATCATTTGTAGCAATATGACTAGAAACAGAGGTTAATGTTAAGTAAAATAAGTCAGGCACAGAAAGGTAAATATTGCATTGCTCACACATGTGGAACATAAAAGCTGGTCTTGAAGTAGAGATATAGGATAAAATTTAGTAGAGCCAGGAAAGAGTGGAAGGGAAGGAGGGAGGAATAGAGAGAGGATGGTTGGGTACAGGAATGCAGTTAGATAAGAGGAATAATGTCTAATGTTCTAAAACACAGTAGGACAGCTATGGTTGACAACAATTAAGTAACCATTTCAAAGTAGCTAACAGAGAGGATTTTGAATGTTTCCAACACAAGAGATGATAAGATTTCTGAAGTGATAGATGTGTTACTTACCCTGACCCAAACATTACACAGTGTATACATGTATTAAAATGTCGCACTGTACCCCAATTACTATGTGGCAATTAAGAACCAAAATATTTTCTAAGAATATTTGGCACAAAGTAGATGCTCAGTTAACTTGTTGAATGAATGATAAATAACAGTTTAAAATTTTCAGCATTATCAGGGGCACTGAAAATTCATGCCTCAATCTTTCTTCTTTAAATCTAAATCAACTGATTCCATGTAGCTGCATTTTTCTCCCAAAAGGCATATTTTCAATTCTGTAAAAATGCTACAGGAGTCTTGCCATTTTCTTACAGGGTTTTGTGTATGATGGACTTCAGATTGAACATAGGCTTCTAGAAGAATCTAAGCAGTCTATAATTTGTTTTCCTTTCTTTACAGGTTTCACATGCTTGCCAGGAAATATACCTTTAAAAGATAATCTCCTAGCACATCAGCCCAGTCACAAAGAAGCCTGTCTAAGGCCAGATAGTCTAGAGTGACAAAGTATTTGATCCTTACCTGTTCACAGTTTCTAAAATCCCACAATGCCCTCCTGAATCTGTTGGGGAAAATACAAATCAACTCAGAAACTCAACCACAGATTGTATTATCTATTTTGAACGGTCACTGTTTTATTTAATAAACACCTCCTATGTTCCAAGTCAGAAGCTAGAAGCTAAAACAGTACATTAGATACCTTTTCTTTTCCTTTCTTTTTTTTTTTTAAGTTTTAGCAAGGATTGATTTTAGTATAACAAGGTAAATTATGGAGCATGGGGTAGGGGGAAGAGAAACATTTCCTGTTTCCCACTTAGAAAATGGGACCAAACACTCCTACTCTTCCCTTTTTTTTTAACCTTTTATGTGAGTGTATATGTGTGCATGTGTCTGTGTGTGTGTGTGTGTGTGTGTGTGTGTGTGTGTGTGTATGAGAGAGAGAGAGAGAGAGAGAGAGGGAGCGAGAGCGTCAGACTCAGGGCTTTGAGTATAGTAGGCAAACACCCTAGAATAGTACATTAGAAACAGACCTTGGTCTATATCTTGATGGGATCAGAATCTTGGATACAATTGTTTCTGTTTACATTATTTTTGTTTTTTGGTTTGTTTTTGTTTTTGTTTTGAGATGCCTTACTTTGATCTAATTTGGTTTTCGTATATTATATTTATTTACAATATAACTTTAAAATAAGAATTCTATACTTATGGGAAAATATTTTTAGCTAACTTTAAAAATGAGGAAATAGCATTTTGCTTTCTCTAAGCTAACTTTTAGTTTGACTGTAATATAATGTTTTTATTTTTTAGAGTTCATTTCAATTCTCTGCAGAGGATTTAACATGGAATACAAAAATCTCAGGTATTTTCAATTACTTTAGTTTGTTTTTTTTTTTTTACCCTTTTTACATTTAGCTTAAATACTTGTGTTTGATTTCACATTTTACTGTTTCGTTAAGTTAAATTTAATAAAGAAACAATCACATTTCAATTGCTGTTTTGACATTTCATTAATCACTATTTCATCAAAGATATTAACTTTCTCTAGGATGCAGAAAGACTAACAGAATTGACACACAAAAAAAATTCTACTGAATGACTTTCCCCACCTTCTTGGTGATTGTACACCTGCCTTCCTTATAAGGAGAACAAGGAAGTAAATCATGTTGAAGTTGCTTTTAAACACAGCTTTTCTTCTTTACCTGTCCAGGTAGCCTCTGTTTTCATTTCAATCTTAATGAAAACTTTTAAAATTTATATCTCAAGTTTATTTTCAAAGCAGTGTAAGTAGTACTTAAAATTTTACACTTCGAGAAAGAAAGACTTTTATGATATTCAGCTTTGATCTTGTAGCGCTGGAGGTAATTCATTTTTTAATCTGCCTGCACAGCGAGAACTGAAGCGAATGGGGATTGAGCTGTTCTACCTGTTGTTTCTATTTCTAGGAAGGCATGATCGCGTGCAAGGTAAGACCTGAGCTCTCCGATACATTGCTTGACAAATCTGCTGTTTGGTTCAGAAACTAGATCTGAAGTCATTTTTCATTTGATCTGTTTGATAGCTCTTTTGCCACCGAGTGAACACTTTAACGAATTATAGGCAAACACGGAGCTATTCCCACAGTGAATGTTCTAGGCGTAAAGTAAATAAATACAAAGGCTGAACAGGCATTTTAATGAGGAGAATTAGACAATATTACGGCACAATAGGACTTCTTAATACCATGGTGACAGTTATTTTGGAAACTTTTCTATTTTATTGTACAACGAGGCCTTCCACTTGGGAGTAATAATCTTGAGAGAGATAAAGGATTTATTTCAAAAGCAGAATTACCACATGTATGAGAAAAGCATTTTTTAGTGATTACAAATAATTTTTTGAAATTAAAGTGGCAAATATTAGGTAAGGACAATAAATAGGATGACCCTGTACTTGCGAATAGTTAGATATTTAGACATTTTAAGAGAAAAAAATGATGATTTTTTGGGTTCATAAGGCACATTTTCAATGTGATAAATGTAAATAATAAACTTTTATGTGCATTGCTAACACTTTGAGGTTTGATCTTTGAAAACTAAAATAAACTTCAGTGCTGTTTGGTTCAAGTAATCTAAGAGGAAGAAGGGACATAAATTCAGTGAATGAAAGTGACATTAATCCCTTGCATCTTGCTGGGTTTAAAACCAGGTGGCTGTGCCAAGGGAGGTGCAGAGACGTGTGGAGACTGCTTACTCATTGGACCTCAGTGTGCCTGGTGTTCCCAGGAGGTAAAATAAATGACTTCAATGTGTTTTTAAAACTGTTTGCAGTTATACTGCTGTTCATTTCCTCAGTGACAGTGCTGATCATGTCCTTCTCTCCACAGGTTATATGAGTAAAACGTATTAAGAAAGGAAAGTATAAGTATCAGTGGATGAAAGTGGCATTCATGCAATTACTTTTAAAAACAATTTACAGAAAGATTGGATGTCAAATTATTCTAAAACAAGTATTTAAGTCAGGATCCTTTATTTAACCTGGCCACTCCTTTGATTTTAAACCTGTCACAACAGGTTACATGTAAAATGTTGAGGGTCTCAGGATGATCAACAGTCATGGAGGCCATATTTTTTAAACTTAAACATAGCTTTGACATCTGTCTGGGAACCCAGATCCATTGTGAGATACCTCTTGGCTTTTTGAGAAGTGTTCTAGGTTAGGGAAAACATTACTACTCAGACATGATCCAATTCTTCTAAAAATGACATTTGCCTTACTGAGTTCAGGACTCTGTAACACAGCAATGACAAGCCCCAAAGAAATATTGCTTATTTGGTCAAATTGAAAAACATATGAAGTGTAGGAAGATGATTGTGGAATACGTAACAACCCATCCTAGGTCACTGCCAGCTCTGTGACACTGCAGAACAATCTGTAAATGATTCATGGCAAGAAAGAGATACCCTAGTTTTCTGGATTTTAAAATAAGTCTTACACACTAGATCTCATAGAGGATCTAAACACAAACCAAGCCCTACAAATGCCAGGTTCAGCAAGAGACAAGCAGCATCCTCAAAATGAAGCAGCCAGACACCCATCTCAGATCTGGGCTGTAACTGTTAAACCCCAAATTCCACATTCGATGTGTACCCATAGACGGTGGCCTCATAGCCACGAGAGCACAAACCCAGCTCTCCCCCACTACCGCCTTGACTGATGGGGTCACAAACAAAGCTAAAGGCACTTATGCTCCTTTGAACTTTTGTACCAACTACAATGAGGAAAAAAAATCCAGATGTTTTTTGGACATTGACTTTCTAAAAGAGGCAATATTAATTTCACACCAGGGACATAAAATAATTGGTCTAGAATTTTTATTTAAATGCATTTTTTAACATTAATTTAAGAGAGCTTCCTAGGGTTCTACTCGTAGCTTTATATGTGGATGAGAACTGGTGGACAAATGATTGCCAAATGTTATGGCCAGATTTTGTAAGAGGCCACTGTAATAGCAGAGGTAGTTATTATATCATTTGAGGCAGTTGGAGCAAAAAAGTGAGTTAGGCTTCTTGTTAGCACAGATAAAAATGTGGGTCTGTGGTTAATCTGACCTCTGATGTTTTGGCAAGGGCCGTGACTACAACTGATAGCAATTGCATTGTGTTGAGAAGGATTTGGAGGCCTTACCCAGCCACTGTTGGCCTTCATTGCATCAAGCCTACCCTAGAGTCTCAAATATTCATAGGCCTGATTGGTAGATAACAAATTATATTCTTGGGCTGGAGGCATGACTCAAGTGGTAGAGTGCCTGCCTTGCAAGCATGAAGTTCTGAGTTCAAACTCCAGTACTGCCAAATATATATATATGTATATATATATATTTTTTCTTAACTTTCAAAGTTGGTAAAAACAGCAAGAGTGACTTATAATTCTATCGGGCAAGGAGCAAAATATGAGCATTAGTTTGGTTCTAAGCGTGAGAGTCAGCAGGTCCTGAGTTTAGCTTTGCCTGATACCAGCTCCAGGGCAGCCTTATGCTAGTAAAACAGGTGTCATCTCTTGGCTCTGTCTCTCTGTTCTTGGTGCTGCAGGACAGGAATGGCTACATCTGTGCTGGGAAACATGATCCCTCTGGCCTACTGTACAGATGGATCTCAAGGGGCCTGGGAAATTCTGGAGTTCTGCAATAGGAAAGCATGCTTTTAAGCCATCTTCTCCTTTACTTTCCTTCCTCATTCCAAATATTGGAGAAAGTTTTAAAACACTACGAACTAGAACACCTAAAGATACTGAATTTAGTACTTGAGAGGTCGGTTTTAGTGAAGTAGTGCTGTACTGTAAGGGTAACACAACAGTGAATAAAACTAGTCCTGAATAAGATAAAATGCCATAAGCCACGCCTTTTAGGAACCTACAGAAAAATCTTTCTTTGTCACTGGGTATGATAAAGACAGACTGCAAATCTTGAACAGTTCTAGATTCTAGGAACCAACAGGTTGTCCAGAACAAATAAATTCACAGAATAATGTCATGTATGAACTCAACTATTTCTAGGCTCTGGTTATGGCAAGCAAGAAGCTTTAAAGAAATGGGCTTAAAAAAAACTATTACATGACTTCAACTGAATATAATTAAAAGGAGACTATAGTGTTACTCAGAAGTTTATTAGCTGAATTCTCTGGTTATTCACCTGTAACTAACTTTAGACCTATAATCACTGTCAGTCATGTGGGGATATGATGTACTTAGCATAGAAAGATGCTTAACTAGCAAAATATGTAAAAGATTTAATTACTGGCATCTTATAATGAAATGCAGATTTGTCTTCTTTTTCTCTTTATATTTTTTCCTTTGTAGAATTTTACCCATCCATCTGGAGCTGGTGAAAGGTGTGATACCCCAGCAAATCTTTTAGCCAAAGGATGTCAATTAACCTTCATCGAAAACCCTGTCTCCCAAGTAGAAATACTTCAAAATAAGCCTCTCAGCATAGGCAGACAGAAAAATAGCTCTGACATTGTTCAGATTGCGCCTCAAAGCTTGATTCTTAAATTGAGACCAGGTGCGTTATAACAGCTCATGTAAATAAATACAATGCTATATGTGGTAATATTGCCAGTCCACTAATGTATCTTTTACTATATCACATGCATATCACTGCTTGTTACGACTCCCCGTCCCAATCTTCAGGAAACAGGAAATTGCTGGGCTCACACTTTTCTTTATTCACACTGGTCACTTGCACTCCAAATGTTACTGAAGACATCTCCAATGGTGACCATTCAAATTCTCAAATGTTACTCAGGCTACCTCACATTTCTTCGAGGGTTGGAATGTACATTTAAACTCCCCTTTCTTTGGTTCACCTTTTCAAATTCCCCCACAAAAAAATTCAGCTTATCTTCCATCTAAATGGATGCAAGCTCTCCCAAGGAGATATAAAATATCTTAACTTATACCTCCTTCAGCACTTCCAAACTCACTGCTAAAAGAGTTTCATGCCCTTGTTCTTTTATAAACTTTACCATATAGTTCATGAAATTGCATGCATCTTTACTAAGCTCTTCTTGAAATAAAATAGGCAGCTAGTCCAGAGATTGGGTAGTTGCAAAAAAAAAAAAATCTCTTTGTGCTTTTATGGATTTGCAGGTGGTGAACAGACTCTGCAAGTGCATGTCCGCCAGACCGAGGATTACCCAGTGGACTTGTATTACCTCATGGACCTCTCTGCGTCCATGGACGACGACCTCAACACAATCAAAGAGCTGGGCTCCCGGCTTTCCAAGGAGATGTCTAAATTAACTAGCAACTTTCGACTGGGCTTTGGCTCTTTTGTGGAAAAGCCTGTCTCCCCTTTTATGAAAACAACACCAGAGGAAATTGCCAATCCTTGCAGGTAAGTAAGTGATTCTCTCGTATCTCTGGGCACTGATTTTTATAGAGATAACTCCAACTCCCTGAGCCACGCTTGCCAGGAACTTGCTAACTCCCTGGCATTTCTGACTCTTCTGTTTACATGTCAACAACTCTCCCAGTTGCCTAGGTCGTTTACAGCCAAGGTGAGGTCATCTTAACTTCGTGGTTCCAGCCTTGCATCTCTGCAGCATCTGCCTCCTGTGTAGGTCGGAATGTGGCCAGCTAGGTTTTGTGTTCTGAGACAAGGGCACGTTGGAAGACATTTCACTGTAGGTCCCACTGGATGGCTCCCCCCACCCACCCCTCAGAGATCTTTGATCCTCAATGACCACTGATTTCTGACACTAACCTACGTTCTTTCACAGTCTTTCTCCACTACAGTGACTTCTGTGAAAATAATAATTTTTGCAACTTTCTCTGACGTACTTTGGGAAATTGTGGCTTCCTCTCATTGCTTGGAGAAGGCCTTTGTAGCCTTCACTGTCATTAAATTCAGTAGGAAATGAGGCAGTGACTCTATTATAATATGCTATAATCAGCTACTAAAACCATGTATTATGCAGGTGATGGTCAAGGGCAAATTGCTTTATGATGGCTTACCTGTACAGTCAATGACATGTTCAAAGCCAAATTAATACCCATCTATTGAAAAAGAGCTACCATTTGCTCTGTGCCAGACCCTGTGCTGAAGACTTTATATATATGATTCATTCAATCCTTATAATAATAGCAGGGTAAAGCTGATTTCATTAGCCCCATACTCAGAGGAAGTAACAGAGGCTCGGAGAGGTTTAGGAATTTGCCCAAGGCCACATGACCAACCAGTGATTTGTACCAAGATCTGATTTGGTCCAAATCTGCATCCCTTACTACTATGTGTCTGGTTCATATGAAATGATTTTCCAAATGTATGCTAATGTTTAATACTTTTATACACTAAAAGCAGTGATCTCTGTAAAAGACAAACAGCTTTTATCCTCTCATTTAGAAACACGTCAGTGTAGTTCTCAACTATAACCTAACAAAAATAGCCAAAAATAACTTAACCATGAAAGGAATTTATCACTGATTATAATTCTTGGGAATTGTGTTTGGTTGCAAGGATCAGAGACAATGGCTTAATTAATTTTTATTTTTATTACTGTTATTATTGTAGCACTGGGGTGTTGAATTAAGGGCCTTACCCTTGCCACGCAGGCACTCTACCACTTGAGCCACTCTGCCAGCCAGAGACAATGACTTTTAAAAGAGAGAGATCTTTCTCTCTTTCACATAAAGGAAGTTCAGAGAAAGGCAATTCTGGGCTGGCGTGGTACCTCCACACATATCAGGAATTCAAGTGTTTTCTGCTGCCTGCTCCACCTTCATTGGCTCTTGGGTTTTATCCTTATGGCCCAAGAAGTTTCCTGGGGCATCAATCCTTCATACTAGGAAGGAAGAAAGGAGGAAAAGAACAGATCAATAAAGGGCATCATCTCCCCTCCTTAAAGGTTTAATTGGCATGCACTTAAAATGCACACATCAAAAATGCTCAACTTACTGTCTTGATAATTGAATGTGCCAATAGAATCAACATCCAAAACATGATGTAGAACCTTGTCACCATCAAAAGTCTCTTTCATGTCCCACTACATGACTCTCAGAGGCAACCACTTTCTGATTTCTATAATTTAGATTGATTTTGCCTATTCTTGGATTTCATACAGAAGGAATAATGTAGTTAGTTCACACTCTGTGTCTGATTTTGTTTTAACACACAATCCATGTAGGATTTACTGCACTTTGTTTATTTATTTTTCCATTGACGGAGATTTGGGTTGTTTCCACTTTTTGGCAATCATGAAGAATGTTGCTATAATCAATCCTTTGCATATAAGTCTTTGTAAGAGTTTTTATTTTTCTTAGATGAATATGTAGACTGGAATTGCTGAGTTGTATGATAAGTGTACTTTCAATTTTTTGAAGAAATTATCAGACTGTTTTTCAAAGTGGATCTATCACCTTTCATTTCCACCAGCAATGTGAAAGGGTTCCACACTAACACTTGGTAGTAACAGGATTAGACTGACTTTTAGACTAACTAGTTTCCTTCAGGCTCACTAAAAAAATTAGTCCTTTTAATTTTAGCAATTTTAATAGGTATATAGTGGTATCTTGTTGTAGCTTTAATTGCCACTTCCGGAGTGATGAATGATGTTCATTTTTCCATATTTTTTTTACCATTCTTATTTATTATTTTGTGAAGTATCTTCTCAAATCTTTTACTCATTTTAAAAAATTAGATTGTTTTAATACTGTATTGTATTGTAAGGGTCTTTTACACATTTTAGACACAAGCTCTTTGTCAAAAATATGCTTTACAAATATTTTCTCCCAGTTTGTGGATTGTATTTTAATTTTTCTGTGTCTTCAGTCAAACAAAAATTTTTATTTATTTTTATTTTTTGTGGTACTGGGGCTTGAACTCAGGGCCTACACCTTGAGCCACTCCACCAGCCCTTTTTGTGATGGTTTTTTTCAATATTGGGTCACTCGAGTTATTTGCCCAGACTGGCTTCAAACCGCAATCATCCTAATCTCTGCCTCCTAAGTAGCTAGAATTACAGGCATGAGCCTCCAGTGCTCAGCAAAAAATTTCTAATTTTTAATGAAGACCAATAACTATATCATTTTTAATTTTAAAGTTAGTGTATTTTTTTGTCCTAAGAAATCTTATGCTTTCTTCTAGAAACTTTATGGCTAAAGCTCTTACACTTAAGACTATTATCTCAAGTGAGTTTCTATATTTGGAATGACAAAAAAAAGTGTAGTTTCATCATTTGTTTCCACACAGATACACAATTGTTCAGGAATTGTTTGTTAAGCAAGACTTTTCACATTGAATTATTTTGATGTTTTCACTTAAAAGCAATTGACAGTATGCACGTGAGTCTACTTCTGGGCACTCTGGTCTCTTTCATTGATCCATTAACTATACCCACTTAACAACTAATGCCTCACTGTCTTGCTTACTGTAGGTTTATAAAAGTCTTAAAATCAGGAGTATAAATCTTCCAATTTTGTTCTTCTTTTATTTTGGTTATCATTAATCCCCTGTATTTCCATACAAATTTTAAAAGCAACCTATCAATTTCTTCAAAAAATATGCTGGAAGATTATCTTAAAACCATAGATCAATTTGGGGAGACTGGGCATCTCAAATCTATTAAACTTTCAGATCTTGTCACATGACATACATTTCTGTTTCTTTAGGTCTTACTTCAATTTATCTAAGCAAAATTTTGTTGTTTTCAAGTGGAAATTTTGCACTTTTTTTTTTTTGCTTTATTTGTTCATGGGGGTATTTTAAAAATTTCATTTCTCAATGGTCTGCTGGTAATTTATATGAATCCAACTGATCTTGCATATTCTTTGCATATCCTCAAACCTTGATAAATTTTCTCATTAATCCAGCCTGATTTTATAGATTCCTTGAACTTTCTTATGTATATGATCATGCCATCCGTGAATGACAACTTCTTCCTTGGCAATATTTGTGCCTCTTTTTTTCTTTGACCTGTCTTGTTGTGCTGACTAGAATCTGTAGTACTATTTTAATGTGGAAAGAGAGGACAACCTTGTCGTGTTTATGATCTTTTTTTTTTTTTCCTTTTTCTTTTATTATTCATATGTGCATACAAGGCTTAGGTCATTTCTCCCCCCTGCCCCCACCCCCTCCCTTACCACCCACTCCGCCCCCTCCCTCCCCCCCCCAATACCCAGCAGAAACTATTTTGCCCTTATTTCTAATTTTGTTGTAGAGAGAGTATAAGCAATAATAGGAAGGAACAAGGGTTTTTGCTGGTTGAGATAAGGATAGCTATACAGGGCATTGACTCACATTGATTTCCTGTGCATGGGTGTTACCTTCTAGGTTAATTCTTTTTGATCTAACCTTTTCTCTAGTACCTGGTCCCCTTTTCCTATTGGCCTCAGTTGCTTTAAGGTATCTGCTTTAGTTTCTCTGCATTAAGGGCAACAAATGCTAGCTAGTTTTTTAGGTGTCTTACCTATCCTCACCCCTCCCTTGTGTGCTCTCGCTTTTATCATGTGCTCAAAGTCCAATCCCCTTGTTGTGTTTGCCCTTGATCTAATGTCCACATATGAGGGAGAACATACGATTTTTGGTCTTTTGGGCCAGGCTAACCTCACTCAGAATGATGTTCTCCAATTCCATCCATTTACCAGCGAATGATAACATTTCGTTCTTCTTCATGGCTGCATAAAATTCCATTGTGTATAGATACCACATTTTCTTAATCCATTCATCAGTGGTGGGGCATCTTGGCTGTTTCCATAACTTGGCTATTGTGAATAGTGCCACAATAAACATGGGTGTGCAGGTGCCTCTGGAGTAACCTGTGTCACAGTCTTTTGGGTATATCCCCAAGAGTGGTATTGCTGGATCAAATGGTAGATCAATGTCTAGCTTTTTAAGTAGCCTCCAAATTTTTTTCCAGAGTGGTTGTACTAGTCTACATTCCCACCGACAGTGTAAGAGGGTTCCTTCTCCGCCCCATCCTCGCCAACATCTGTTGTTGGTGGTGTTGCTGATGATGGCTATTCTAACAGGGGTGAGGTGGAATCTTAGCGTGGTTTTAATTTGCATTTCCTTTATTGCTAGAGATGGTGAGCATTTTTTCATGTGTTTTCTGGCCATTAGAATTTCTTCTTTTGAGAAAGTTCTGTTTAGTTCACATGCCCATTTCTTTATTGGTTCATTAGTTTTGGGAGAATTTAGTTTTTTAAGTTCCCTATATATTCTGGTTATCAGTCCTTTGTCTGATGTATAGTTGGCAAATATTTTCTCCCACTCTGTGGGTGTTCTCTTCAGTTTAGAGACCATTTCTTTTGATGAACAGAAGCTGTTTAGCTTTATGAGGTCCCATTTAATCTATGCTATCTCTTAGTTGCTGTGCTGCTGGGGTTTCATTGAGAAAG